CCCCCCCCCCCCCCCAGCAGACCAGGGAGACGCGGAGCAAAGCCACGGAGGACGCCCACAGCGGGACAGCCCAGGCGCGCCGCAGCTGTCCCGCTGTGGGTGTGCTCCGAGGCTTTGCTCCCCATCTCCTTGGTCTGCTGGTCGGGAGACGGGGAGGAAAGCCGCGGAGCACGCCCGCAGGGGGACAGCTCAAGTGCGCCCGGGCTGTCCCGCTGCGGGCGTGCTCCAAGGCTTTGCTCCCCGTCTCCCTGCAGACCAGGGAGACAGGGAGCAGCTTTTCTCGCCCTGGAGGACGGGGACGGCGGACCGCGGCGCATCTGGGCGTCCCGCCGCTCCCGTCCTCCGGGGCGAGAAAAGCCCCGTTCGTAACTGCGGATCCGACATAAGTCGGATCCGCGTAACTCGGGGACTGCCTGTATATACACAATTCACTATAATGCGCAGAATTTAGGCAGGCTCATGTTTGCAATTAGTTCTTTTCTCTGCTGTATAAGCTATGGCTATGTTAATCACAGCTTTTCATCCCCATAATGCTAAACTCATACATAACCTGTAATATATTATATACAAATACCTAATGTTCACGTCTCCATAACAGAAGCTTTAGCTTTAAGTTGCTTAACTGGTTGAAAGTAAACTGCTGACCTGGTTGGGAGTATTCCAAGATAGATGCCAGAGTGCTACGGATAAGACTGGTCCATTGCTTATGAGTTTCCTCGGTCTTGGCCATTGGAAGAGTTACAATAGTTTTTATTGCCTGAAGAGCTGCGCTGACTGGTGGTGAGACTTGATTATCCAATGATTTTACTGCCGTTTCTTTCAATACCCTTGTAATCAGAAACAGGATTGTAGGTAATATTGTCATACATCCTGAAATAAAAAATAAAGTGCATTCTTGCAATTAACTCTAACACCAGGTATGGTCCACAACTTCTATATATTTCCTTAGTGGAATAACTCTTGCTAGCAATAGGTATCCTTTGTTTATATGGTAGCTAATATAACTCAATCATATTTTAACAATTAAGAAACATAAGAAATATCTAATTATAGTCAAAATATATTCTATGGCCATATACATCATTTGGAGTCATTTGTGCTAATGTAATAAAAACTCTGTCAGCAATTCAGGAATTTATAACTCAGCCTTAAAACTCTGCTCTAGGTTGATAAGGAATTATTTTTAAAAATTCTGTTAAAGAGCAAAAGGATGTTCCCGTGCTTAGGGCACTAGTATAGATCTGGAGAGAGACAGGTTCAATTCCTTCTTTTGCCCCAGAAATTCTGTATGAGCTCGGGCTAGTCAGCTAGCCTTTTTTATGCCTCATGTCCCCATCTGTGCAATGATGATAATACTTCCATACTTTACAAACGATAAATACAACAAACACTGTGAGATACTCAGATTCCATGATAATATGGTGTCACAAAGCACCAAAAACAGATAACTGAGTCCCTCTCATTCTCCCAATTAGGCTTCCTTTGCATCCCAACTGGAGCCCAAAACAGCCTATATAAATAGCACTTATACTAATCCTTCACCCAGCTCATACTAAAATCCATGAGTTGGGGCAGTATCTTTCTGGCTGAGGAAACCTGGCCAAAAGTTCTTTTAGTGGCCATCAGTATAATTCATTCACTGGTCTGAAAGGTCACTGAATGATAAAAGTACTTTATTCCACACAGGAAATGTGAAATGCTGCTTCTCAAACACTTCACTCAGTCATTCCTAAAAGCAAGAAAAAAAATGGAACAGAGAATCCTGAAAGACTCTGGGCTATTGTATAGATATATATTTTTTTATTTTTAACTAAATCCCATAATTTGGACATCAGGCCAAATATTTTTCAAAACTTATTTTCTCTAGGATTGTTATTAATTTTGAACTTTATCATAGGCTCCACCTCAAGACCTGCTAAACATCTGCTATGTCAATTGTAATTACTTGCAGACATGAGAGAAACTTCAGCTGCATTAAAAAGAACAGCGTATAGTGCAAGTTTTAAAAGTGCAATTTTCCTGATGTCCTGTAACCTGAAAAGCAGGCACCCTTATGTTGCTCTAGAATTTAACCCTCATGAGCAATAAATTACCTTCAATTTAATTTTAATTTTTCTGAGATAGAAGTAACATATTTAGCTTATTCTGCAACATGTTCTTATATTTTTCTTATAAAATCTATTCATTTATGTGCATTAAGTTACAGTAGAGTACCGGCTGGAGAGCACAGAGAAGGCAAGTCAGACAAGATGGTAACAGTAGCAGCCACAAGGCGAGCACTTTCTTCAGAGAGCTGGGATTTCGCAGAAGCATGATTTGGAGAATCTGACATTTTTGTGCTTAGATATGGCATGTGCCGTACTAGGATAAACATTAATAGTTCCATGGCTGCAAAAACGAGAGATTTTCCAGGCACAAGACCACCAGTCTCACCACCTTCTCCTAAAACAAGGCACGTTTCTTTTTCCTTTATGTCATCTTCATCTGCAGTGAAAAATATTTGGTTAAATAGTAAAAATGAACCCCAACAAAATAAATATTAGATAAAAAACATTGCAAGGTAGATAATACTTTGAGAAGCACTAAGGCTTTGTCTACACTACAAAGTTTTTGCATCAGAGAGTACGCTAATGACGGACTCATTAGCATGACTCACAATGTCATTAGCATATTTTCTGCCGATGTTTTTTGCGCAAAAACAGGCAGTGTGGCCGTAGCCATTATGTGGAAAAAAGCACTTTTTGCACAAGATCCTTATGCCTGTGCCAGAGAGAAAAAGGGGGTTTTGCGCAAAATGGCCACTGCTACACTGCCTGTTTTTGCGCAGAAATGGATTGAAATACAGTATGCAAATGAAGCATGGGAAAACGCTAGTCTGCACTTCATTTGCATAGGCTCTTGCGGCAAAAGTCATAGTGTAGCCTAAAGGTTTACATCAATGTATACGTTCAAACAGATTTAATAGGTTAAAAACACCACTACTTTTAAAGTTAAAATATGCTGAGGGAGTTTTAAATTGCCTTAAAGGTTTTGTGACTGACTTTAAAATTCTATAACAAGACCAGAAATTGATAACATTTAATAATTACAATGTCAGAAACAGATGCTATATTTCACACTTTTAAAAAGTCTTATGGAAAAATTACCACCAAACGAGGCCAGCTTCTGCATCTGAAGTATATTAATACAATAGTTTTCTTTCTTTATCTCAGTTATAAACTTATATTTTTTTAGAAAAAAAAAACAAAAAAATGCAATTCCAGTCTGAAATGTGACTCTAAGAATAGTATTGAGAGATTCTGTGTACTGTCTCTATGATGTTAGTATCAAATGTGGTCAGTTAACAAGATTTTTTTCTGACTGGTTGAAAAACAAGTCACGTTCTCTCCTTTGCCATTGCCATTGCCAGTACAGGGCATTCCCTGCTATAAGTTGCCACGGTATACATTCATTTCACACTAAAGTCGTTGGCGTTTGTAGAAACTGATCCTCCCATTCCCCGCTCTTAAGTTGTGCAAAAAAAACACCCAACAATTTGCGCAAATGGAAGTCACGTGAGGAAAAAAATTCCCCACTTTAAGTTGTTTCGCTATAAGTCCAAGTTTTTTGGAACTTATTTTGGACTTATAACAAGGACAGCCTGTAATAAAATCTAGTAACTAGGCTTTCAATACCTCTATGCCACTCCACTGAATTAAAATGAGGTTTTAGTGAACATGTGTGCAGTGCTCCCTCTAAGCTGCCCAGCAACACAGCTTCACAAGTGATAAATCAGCCCCACCCAGTCAGAGGCTCAGGGCTCCAAGCAGGGAGCTGACAAATCACCTGTGAAGCTGTACTGCTGTGCAGCTTAGAGGGAACACTGTATGTGGACTGTCCTATTGCCGCATTGTTTGAAAAGATGTAACTTAATTGGGCTTTTAATAAACAATTCTATTGATGAAGAAAAAGGAATAAAAATCATCCCACGGTCTCTTACTTGCGTTGGCTTGTTCTACAGCACTAACAAGAGCAAAAAGCAGTAAGCCCCTGCCCCACAATCACCCTGAGAAAAGGGGCAGTGAAGATAACTGAGGATATAACTATGACTACACTGACCAGATCTGTGGGATAAGGAAAAGCCATTTTTACCTAGACAGTTTTCAGAGAAGAACCCCACTTTAATAAATCTGAGTTCTCTCAATTAGGGAATGTGTTGCTTTTTTCCTCTGAAAATGCAAACAACAGTTTTAAGTTTGTTTGTTTTTAAAGTCTTACTCAGAGTGTTCCTTTTTTCTTGAAGATAATCTTGAGCTGCTCTCACTATTTGCTGAACAACTCCAGTAACCAACAACTGGACTGCAGGAGGATCCCAGGTCAACAGGAGTCGATGCAGCACACTCAGAAGTTCAACACCAAGGAGCTAGAACAACAGAATAAATTGAGGTTTTTTAAAACATTTTTAGACTTGAAAGTTAATGGTTTACAGACCCCTACTTACCAACAAAAATGGTTTCTGGTTAATCTACTGTTATTCTTAGCTACAGAGTATTTTTTCCTCAGTTTTAGAAAGCACCATTCCTTTGGTACTAATTTTTCAGTTCATTTCTGAAAGAATCACGTTTCATAAAGTCCTACCCTTAATCCTGTTATATCATACTACTGTAGATTTAGGATAATCCGGCACCTTTTGGACCTAGGTGGTGCCGGATTATCAGATTTGCCGGAGAATCAGGAGGTCCGGTACAGCTGCACCGCTTAACAGCTGGCCAGGACACAATCTCCCTCCCTCTCTCCTCCCCTTTCCTCTTTGCATCCCCTCCCTGCTATAACCTGATCCTCTTCCCCCTCCCCTACCCTTTCCCCTTCGCTGAAGCAAAAGGCTCTTCTCCTTACTGTAACACGATCCCACTCCTTCCCCCCTCCCCCAACCGTATGCTCCCTCTGATTACAGTCAGCATGTGTGCTGAGCAGCAGGCTTTTTAATCAGCTGGTCAGGAGCGCTTGGCATTTTGATGGAGTATCGGGAGTGCCGAACAGTTGGGTGCCAGACTATCGGAGTTTTACTGTATTACTCTATGGGTATGTCTACACTTGCACCCTAGTTCGAACTAGGGATGCAAATGTAGGCATTCTAAATAGTCAGTGAAGCGGAGATTTAAATATCCCGCGCTTCATTAGCATGATCTCGCCAGCGCGTTACTCCGATCAACAGCTGTTTCGAAAGTGAAAGTGCGTGCCGGGTAGCATTAGTTCGAACCAAACCCCTTGGTTCGAACTAACCCCCTTGGTTCGAACTAACGTTACTCCTCATTTTTTTGGAGTAACGTTAGTTCGAACCAAGGGGTTTGGTTTGAACTAATGATATTTAAATCCCCGCTTCACTGACTATTTCGTATGCCTACATTTGCATCCCGAGTTCGAACTAGGGTGCAAGTGCAGACATACCCTAAGTGAGTGATTTTACATGCACCATAATCTGGGATTTTTTTAAAACAGCAAAAATGGTTACATCTAATCCCATGAGCATGCAAATTTTGGTTTGGGGGATTTAGACTTCAGAAACAGTGTACAGGATTTCACCTGAGAAACACAATGAATAGTTAATAGGTAACACTCCCTTCGTTCTCTCATCTCTGTATTAATGATAAAATTTAAAAGGAGGGTTTTTTTTAAAAATGGGTGCAGTGTGCGATACACAAGCCTAATGATATTAAATGACTGTATTTGTATGAGTTTGGCAATTCACTGCCTTTTAAAAAAAATCAATTTTTTCACCTCAACTTCTTGAAAACTAATGTTAGAGACCACTGGAGGAAATGGAGATCTGATGCGGAAGATAAAGTCTCTCACTGTAAAAATAACTAACCACACACACAGGAGCACAAAGGTGACAATGATATAACTTTGCCACATTTATCCAGTAAGTAGTAAAATCCCCCCACAAAATAATGAATAATTAAAGCTCCTGTAAAGACCATAAAGCTGCTAAAGTATGAAGACTTATGAAAACAAACTATGTGGACACATCTGGGACATAGTTGAAGTACTGGGATATGGCATTAGGACCACTTAGGTCAGTGATTTGAAGCATCTTCTGAATGGTTGCATGTGGATTACTCAAAATAGGGATGTGAAGGTTTAACTAGTACCCGGTTAACCCTTAATGGGTGAGGCTTACCAGTTAAGGTTAACCAGAGGAGGCTGGAGCAGTTCCCTGCCTGCTGTAGGTAGGGGGCTGCTCCAGCCCTGCAGAGGGGACACCACGGACAGCTTGGCTGGAGCAGCCCCTGTCTTTGGTGGGCCCAGGTATCTCACAGGCAGGGGCTGCTCCAGCGTCCCAAGTGCACGAGCCCTGCAGCGGGAGTGGGGATGTGCTCCAACCCAGTGGTAGGTGAGGGAGGGGCACACCGCCTCGCCTTAATCAATTAACTGCTTAAAAAATGTGTTTAACCAGTCAGCCGATTAAACAGGATTTTACATCCCTAAGAGAAGGGACAGTATTTAATTGTCCACCCTCAATAATCTGTTGCTAGCACAAATCAAGGTAACTATAAATAAGAGAGAAAACATCTACAGTGTTTCTACAGGACTTCTATACTACTTTTTCAATTCAGCTTTCTATTCTACAGTAGTGCACAATCTCTCTCAGAGATTATCATAAGGCAGATCATTTATTGTGATTTACTAGCCCTTAAGGAAAGTATAAGTGATAAGTCCACTGTCACAAATTGAGATGCCTGCTTGTGAAAATTTAAGAAAGAAATTTTAAATAAAAAAATGCAGCATGTTTGTTTTGCAAACTGTTGTTACAGCTTTATTTCTTAAAAATTAATGTAACAAACTTATTTTTTTTAAATCTAAAATGGAAAAAAGAAAAAAATGGATCATTATGATAAACAATTTTTTTTAATCTGCCTACATTTCAGCAATATTCCCCCCCCCCTCCAGTTTTTGATCAGTTCTAATTTTTCAGGGACACAGCAGTAAACAGAATACAGATTAATCACCAAACACTTCCACACAGATGCATTTAAAAACAGAATAAGACGAGATTTCAACATCAACTTCCATCATCCAACTTATTTACTATACCTGATCCTCTGCAATATGAATTCTAGCACAAGGTGAATCCAGTAAAGTGTGCAGTGCCTGTAAACAAGATGTGACGTGTTCAACAGGCTCCTCAGGCCTAGGAGAACAGAGGAATTGTATACTAACACCTGAAGAGAAACAAACAATCAAAAAAAATCTCATTTCTATACCAATAAGATGAGGGTTGTTTATATATCACATTTAAGTATTTAAACAATGCGGCAGTTGGGTTTATTTTAGATTTTTATTTTAATCACAAAAGTTATACTCATGTTTTATTTTTACCATTGAGAAATATTCTTTAAAGATAGAGACAGCAAATAGTAAGTAATCATGGTCAGTAACCTACAGATCTACAAAGGAAACTGATGTGTGTCTTTTGATTTGGCAAGTCTGTAAATTAACAATCTGCCACTTTTAATTGTGTTTTTAAGTTTCTGTATATTAAAATATTTTAACTGAAGGAAAATAAAACAGAACAGAAGAGATCTCATTTTCAGATATGACCTGGATATATAAAACACAATTCTTCAAACATTTGTATTTATTACTACAAATGTTTAAAATACAAATACTCCAATTACAGAACTTTCACACAAAATCTCTGACAGAATTGCCACTGTTTAAAAAAAAAATCCAACATTTATCTTTTAAAAACTAGTATGTCTTGGTTTATTATACAAAAGTTTCAGAGTTAGTTATACAACTGACAGTGCAACACAGCTTTGCTAGTTAGTCACATCTTTATTGCATGGATCAAAAACTAAAGATATGCACAGATAAATATAGAATGTAAAGCTAGGACAGATATTTCAAATTTTACTAATCTAAACACCTGGACATTTTCATAGCCCACAGCACCATACGACTGGAGTGCCGACTGGAGTGCCTCAAATACTAACAGATGCTTCCTTACAAACACCCCCACGAAGCAGTAAGTACTATCACCAATTCCACAGAGGTACAGCATAAACCGAGTGACCTGGCCAATGTCACATAGGTCTTTACTGAATTATGACCTTATCAGGGGGTATAAAATGTAATCCAACTCCTCATTCTAAAATTATAGAAAAAACATATGTCTAAAGAACATAATTTGTGTCATCTGAACTCTAATAAATATACTATATTAGATACCTAATGATTTATTTTTAAATATGATGTAAAAACCAGACCTAAAGCTAATCTGGAATATTTCATTTAAGGGACATGGAACAGTATTTTTCAGAGCTATAAAAATCATGGGTTGCCAGGATGTAGCATTGGAATGGGCATATGGTTCATTTTAAATGGGCTGGATTTCAAGATGGTGTCCTTTTAATGCAACCACACTGTGGCATTAAACTTTGAAATATGATATCATAAAGCTCTTACCTAAAATCAAGTGCATTCTATCTTTGTTGATCTCTGGCAAAGATTTAGTGGTAGGTGGTGTTCCAGGTGTCTGGTTTAACATAATAGATGAAACACGTTTCTGTGAATTTGGCATTGCTACAGCTGCTTCTTCAGGTGACTCAGAAGCATCAAATCCTGCACTATTTAGCCAGAGTGCTACTGCATGTAGAATTGGAGCCCAAGAGTTCCGGTAGTGCAGTCTAGCTGTATCAATTGTCTCTGGAGTGTAGAATGCTCCACCTGTTAATTAGAAAAGCAAATGCTAACTAGCATAAAACATATATGTGTATGAGAGAGAGTAAACATATATGTGTATGAGAGAGAGTATATGTTTTATATATACATATATAGGATACATTTGTAGATGTAGATATTCAAGTTTTGTTACAGCTACGTGCAGCACAATTCTCCATGCCAAGAGGACTAGTATCATTAGGGCTGTCCCTATACAGCTTCATGTTCTCTGATATCAAATATTTTTTGCTAGTAAATGATGTGAGGCTAAATTTTCTCTCTGTTCTAACTTTTTCCTAAACTGTGTATGACTGAGGGAAATCCAACAAGATCTCAGAAACTGACAAAGACAAAAGGAGGAGGATACAATGCAGGAAGTATTAGCAAAACAAAAAGATAAGATATTAGCCATCCTAGAAAACTTAAGTCATAAAAAGCCAAGTAC